AGTTGGGTACATGGTCAATGGTAACCCCAAGGATGTTAACAGTGGCCAATTCATATAACCCCTACAGTGTGGGAACAGGCAATTTGGCCCAACAAGTCCACATTGACTCTTTAAAGAACATCCCACCCAGACTTATCCCCCTAAACTATCCCTGTAACCCTGCATTTCCCATAGCTAATCCACCTAACCTACACATCCCTGAACACTATGGGCAATTTAGCATGGCTAATCCACCTAACCTGTACATCTTTGGACTATGGGAGGAAACCGGAAGAAGAAACCCACACAGACACAGGGAGAATGTGCAAACTCCACACAGCCAGTCACCCGAAGCTGGAATTGAACCCAGGTCCCTGTCGCTGTGAGGCAGCAGTGATAACCACTGAGCCACCGTGCCGCCCCTTCAGTGATGGTAAGAGCATTAAATCTCAAGGAGTGATTAGATTGTTTCTTATTGGAAATGGTCCCTGCCTGGCATTTATGTGATATGAATGTTACTTGCTACTTGTCAGCCCAACTTTGGATATTTTCCAGATCTTGTTACATTTATACATGGACTGCTTCAGTATCTGAGGTGTCATGAGTGGTGCTGGATATTGTGCAATCATTGGCGAATATCCCCACTTCTGACCTTATGATGGAGGGAAGGTCATTGACGGAGCAGTTGAAGGTAGCAGCCTAGGACACAACCTGGAGGAGCTTCTGCAGAAACGCCCTGAAACTGAGATGACTGAGATCCAACATCCAGAGTCATCCTCTAATGTGCAGGTATGACTCCATCCAGCAGAGACTTAGCCCCGATACTCATTGATTTCAGTTTTGCTAGAGCTCCTTGATGCCACACTCAATTGAATGCAGCCTTAATGTCAAGTACTGTCACTCTCACCTCACCTCTGGAATGCAGATCTTTTGTCCAGGTTTGAACCAAAGCTGTAATGAGGTCAGGAGCTGAGTGGCCCTGGCGGAACCCAAACTGGGCGTCACTGAGCAGGTTATTGCTGAGCAGGTGCTGCTTGATAGCGCTGTTGATGACACCTTCCATCACTTTATTGATGATCGAGAGTAGACTGATGGGGCGGTAATCAGCTGGGTTGGATTTGTCTTGCTTTTTATGTACAGGACATACCTGGGCAATTTTCCACATTATTGGGTAGATACCAGTGCTGTAACTGTACTGGAACAGCTTGGCTAAGGGTGTGGCAAGTTCTGGAGCACAAGTCTTCAGTACTATTGCTGGAATGTTATCAGGGTCCATAGCCTTTGCAGTATCCAGTGCCTCCAACCATTTCTTGGTATCACGTGGAGTGAATTGAATTGGCTGAGGACTGGTGTCTGTAATGCTGTGGAGCAGTGGAGAAGACCGAGATCGATCATCCACTTGAGGCTCTGACCTCCTTACCTAAACAAAGATATATTGCCAAAGAGGGAGCATAATAGACTGTTCACTAAACTAATTCCTAGGATGGAAGGATTGTCGTGTGAGGAAATAACAATTAGACTGGCTCCGTATTTGCTGATGTTTATACGAACAAGAGGTGATCTAATTCAAACATAAATTCTTAGAGAGATCAACAGAGTGGATGCACAAATGATGGTTCTCTGGCTAGACATCTAGAATTGGGGACATGGTCTCAGAATTATAGACCATTCAAAACTGAGATGAGGAAGAATTTCTTTATTCACAGTCAAATCTTTGGAAATCTCTACTTCAGACGGCTGTATTTTCAAAAAGTGAAATTGATATTTGTTTTATTCATTCATGGGATGCGGGCATCCCTGGCTAGGCTAGCAATTTTTGCCCATCCCTCTTGCCAATTGGAGATAGTTAAGAATCAACCACATTGCTGTGGGTCTGGGGTTACATGTAGACCAGACTAGAATGGCAGTTTCCCTCCCTATAGCGCAGTAGTGAACCAGATGAGTCTTTTTTGACAATCAACAATGGATCATTAGCCTCTTAATTCCAGCTTTTCATTGAATTCAAATTCTACTGTCTGTCATGGCGGGATTGGAAGTCAGGTTCCAAGAACATTAGAAACAGAAACAGAAACTGCTGGAAAAGCTCAGCAGATCTGGCAGCTTCTGTGGAGACAAGTCAGGGTTAATATTTCGGGTCAAGTGACCCTCCCTCACAACTCTTGCTCAAAATGTTAACTCTGGTTTCTCTCCACAGATGCTGCCAGACCTGCTGAGCTTTTGCAGCAGTTTCTGTTTCTGTTCCTGCACTTCTTTCAGTTTCCCTCAGAATATTACCTGGTTCTCTAGATTGACAGTCCAGCTATATAATACTATTAAGCCAATGCCTCCCCTTGATTTTCTATACATTTAAGACATCAAGGTATTTTGGGAATAGTGAGAGATAATTGTGTTGAAGTAGAAGATCGGTTACTATCTCATGGAAGTGGGATGGAAGGACTGAATGGCCTACCATTCCCCTTTCCTGAGGTTAGTGTAGTGTAGTCAAAGTAATAACTTCCATCGACTGCTTTTAGCTAAGAATGCATTAAACACATTGCTCCAAGTTTGTTAGGAGAAGCCTCTGACAGGAGGAATCAATAACACACATTCTCTCATAAAGTCGAAACATTAATGCATCAGTCCTGTGAGATTTATTTCCACCTATAACTTGGAAAGAGCGGTGTGCCTCTCAGCCGACACTAGATGGCACACACCAAACAGCAATGAAATCAAATATCTTAAAGAAACAATTTTTAAAGCGTTAAAATTACCAGTTGTTGCAAGCCGGTCTTAACCAACAGCAAAGTCATTAAATATTACGAGAACTGTTTAAAAAAAAACGCAACGACCCGACCTCTCAAAAAGAACTATACATCTCAAATAAATTTGCAAATCACTCAACACTACGGACTTCCAAATGTTTCCGGACTGTACAAATCCTAATGACTGCTGCGGATCGTTTATCTGCCAAAATACCAGAATTCCTTTGTATGCACTATCGCCAGAAGAAAATCCGAAAAGAATAATCTCGCTGCATATTGGCTCTCACGTTTATCTTTTGCGTTTACTAAAGCGTTATAAATGTTTTGTTTTCTCTTGAAAATGGATATTTAATGAACAATGGCAGTTGTTTGTGCTGTGATAACATATGTTGCGTTAGATTTCACAATTATAGACGAAGTGTTCGAAAGAAAGTAGAATTTTTGCAGCCGTTTCAACAGATGCGGCGGCTGTGAAATGCAAGCAGCAAAGTACAGGAATTAGACACTGTGGGGCGCAAACAAGGCTAACAGAGAGAATATGTCAGAGAGAATAACCTGAGAAAAGGTAGTGGATGGAACTGGTTCACGTTTCTACTTCAAATCGTTGAAAATAATAAAAAAAAAGTTTTACTTAATTTCAGTCTGCTTTAAAACGAACGAGACATACTGTATCATAGTGATTATTGGGTGGTTTTGGATGAATAGTGGTTCAAAGTTAGGGGTTGGACACAACTTTAGAGATGTTCGTGATTATGCTTGAACAGAGTTCATTTTACACAAAGTTTGAGGGAATCACGGTAAGCACATAACAGATTTTAACAACAGATCTCGAATTTCCTTCAACTTTTGTCCATCTAATTTTTTTTACAGCGGGATATATGAGACTTTAACTTTGAAAGTGCCGTTCGACAACAGTTTAAAAGAATGTAAATCTATTTTATGTTAAGATTTATCCTGAAAAATGATAAAACCAAATGACACCTTGGATTGAAAGGTTAAAGGAATATGGAATATCGAATGTATTGTCTGTAAGCCTCATTCTTACTTGAAAATTAGATATTATTCTGAAAATACCGGGTACCACTAGAAACTATTTGAGTCATCTGTAATCAAACACATCTTTGCCGTGAATTTCCACAGGAGACCGCACTGGTTTCCTAAACTTCGCTTCATGACTTTCATAAAGATTATTTTGGCGCTTCTTTAAACTGAATTACAGTGTTCAAATCAAAAGTGAAGACACAAATATTGACCCGTGTGGCATTTTCCCGATTTGTCCTGTGCTATTTGCAGTGTCGTTTCAGACATAAACAGTAACCAATTATATTCCACATTTTGTAACTGATCATTTGCTGTTTCTGCAGAGAGCGGGCACTCCCTTCAAAAACATGTAAATTCTAAAAATGGGGAACATTTGGATAATTTCGTCATAGGCGCCCACGTCTGAAAAAGGCAAATACCACCGAAAGGCAACAATTTTTTTTCCAAACGTAAGAATTTATGGTCACAATTTATGGATCTGATTGATTTTCTTCCTTAACCGTCTACTTGCAGTTATTCGTAGCTCTGTGGAATTTGAGGAATTGAAGTGAATCAGATATTACTTCAAACTGAGATGTGCCAAAATTTGTTTCGATCAGATCCGTTACGAATTCTCCAAATCAAAACTAACACAGATCCAATCAATTTGAAAATCTGTTCGGAGATGTATTTATAGGTATCAACAATCTTTAATATACATGGAATTTTAAAAGCTGCATAGAACTGTGTATGTGGAATCCACGATTAGAGTAAAATTAATAAAATAAATTCAAGCCTAAGGGCAGTGGTGCAAACTTACTTTAGAGAGACTAAACTTCGAACAGAACAGAACCCCACCCCGCAAAATTGAGTAAAACGGGGTTTGCTTTAAAATTAAGGTACGTAAACCAGAAGACGACCACATACTGTTTTCCGTCTCTAATTTTCTCTGGCTGGGGTTCTGCTTTCTGATGGCAAAGTAACAGAACATGGCACATGCAGTGATCAAACCTCAGTCACAGCCGCCCTCGGGCACCCCTTTAAACTCCCTCAAACCTCCGCGCCACGTGTTATTAAGTTTTGCCTGGATCGGCATGCTGTTCACCCTGATGATCTAATTTTTTTTTTCTTGTGCATACTTTGGCACAACCCACCGGTTAGTTGGCGAGCCGCAAAACGGATGGTTGTCTGGGGCCGTGAAATTCCTTCGTGTCGGCTGGAGTGGAGGAAGGGAACGAGAGGAACTGTCAAACTGCACGTTCCTAGGCATTACGTGAACAAATAGCGAGTAGCCTGGGAGCAGGTTGTGTAACTTTGCTAATGTGCCAGTAACTTTAAAATCCCTTCCTCCTTCTCCACTGCAGACAGTACCAAGAAAATGTGAGGCACTCTATACAGCTGCAGCTTTTGGCAAACCAGCTTTTGAATACTCTCTAGTATTTTTTTTGTGTGTACATATATATATATAATATTTTAAGGAATCACACGAACTTTTACATTTAAAATATATTTGATGGAAATATAGACTTTTTTGACAAAAAAAATCTTCTGGGAAGTTACAATTTTTTCTCGCTTGATTTAAAAGATGAATTATCAAACATTAATGTATTTACTGAAACTTATTGGCCTTTACTTGACTTGCCTGGTTCGAGAGATCGATGGACAGCGGCAAGAAGAGGACAGCAGTGCCGTTTGGCGCCAGCGAATTCAGTGGAGAAACAACGGACGAGTTTATAGTTTGTTGAGCCTGGGCTCCGAGTATCAGCCGCCCCAGGGCTCAAGCGGGAGCAACCGCCTCTTCCTACTGAGTGACAGTGACACCAACAGCACGGTGGGCAGCGGCAGAGACAGCAACGCCAGGAGGAGACCCTCATCTTCAACAGCTCAGTCTTCCCAAAACAGCTCTGGTGCCCGCGCAGTCCGACAACACGGGGACTCGACCTCATCCCGATCCCAGCAGCGCTCGTCCGGTGCCAGGCACTTGTCGCGAAGCTCAAATCGTGGCAATGCTAGACCTTCCGGGCCCCGCAATCAGGATGGGGCTCGATCCAGCAGCGGGCTCAGGCAAGGGGCTGGGGTAACCCCAGGCTCCACCAACCAGGATATCCGTGAGGCACCTGCAACTGGCCAGAACAGTACGAGCCAGAGCCTTCAAGGGACTGCCAATTCGGATGTCATGGTTGGGGATGACCCTTACAACCCCTACAAGCAAACAGATGACAACCCCTACTACAATTACTACGACACGTACGAGAGACCCAGAGTTCGCCCCCGCAGACCTGGGTACGGTACCAGATATTTCCAGCATGGTAAGCTGTTGCTCAACTGCTTTTCTTAGAAAGTAGATTTTGTTACTGAATTAATTGATTGCAAATATACTCTTGTAATCTGCATCGTGTTTGTTTTAACGCGGAATTGAATTAAATCCGTGCATTTTATTTTAGGTTTACCAGATTTAGTCCCAGATCCGTACTATATTCAAGTCTCAACATACGTTCAGAAGATGCACATGTACAACCTTAGATGCGCCGCAGAGGAAAATTGCTTGGCAAGGTACAGTGTACATAATCAAAAACATGTGCTCCCGTCTTCTTACATCGCAGTTGCATTTTGAACTCCTCTTCTGCCTTCGCGTCATTACTATGTGTAGCTTCTCACAGCCCGCAAAGTTTTATGTTTTTAATTTCCCCGTCCGACCTCATCCAGAGTTCATAATTTTTTTTAGAAAAACATCGTAAACTTGCAGCCATAAAATTATAATGGAACGATCTATATGCAACGGTCCGATACAATAGGAATTTAGCAGGTGGAGCTGTACAACGATAAGCTGGGTGTGCTGTGGTTTGACTTTTAAGACTGTTCGGCGCAAATTTGGAGACAGGATTCGGCATGAATCCAGAATTAAGAAGCGAGGATTGAGAGAGTTTAAGGAAAACTGCAGGATGAGAGAAGTCACGGCGAGGTACAGCTGCAATAGCTCCTGGATTAAATTAGTTTCTGAATAATAGCAGTTCTCATTTTGGGATGTGTTCCGTGTCCTAGGGCACTACACTTCTAATGTTTTTTTTAAGTTACGTTTCTATCAGATGACTTTAACAGAACGCCTAACAACGGATTTCATTTGGGTAACTTCTGATTTGTTCAATGGAAATTCACTTGGATTTCCAAAATCCAGTTAATGTGAAAATATAGCTCATAACTATAAATTCAGAGCGGTAGCTGTAACCTGTTTAAAGCGGTTTTCCAGGTGAGGAAGGGCTACTCATGTAATGATGGCCCGAAAATGTCACTCTGTCCATCTGTTGAACTATAGTCGGAGATTTTTGGTAAGCAAGCAGTTTATGTTTCACTGCGTGACGGTGACTCTCTCGTTTCACATTTCCTTGTAGTTCAGCGTACAGTGCGGACGTCAGAGACTATGATATGAGAGTGCTGCTAAGATTCCCACAGAGAGTGAAGAACCAGGGCACAGCAGACTTTTTACCAAGCCGACCTCGTTACTCATGGGAATGGCACAGTTGTCACCGGTAAGTGGGGACTGCAGTATAATGTGCGCTCCCTACCATTATCGGACTTCAACAGTTATGAATGTACATGCTTACATACAATTCAGGAGCAGAAGTAGGCCATTCAGCCCCTCGAGTCCCTTACTCTGCCATTCGATAAGATGATGAGTGATCACATTTGTAACCTCAAATCCACATTCCTCCCTACCCTGATAACCTTTCACCCCCTTGCTTAACAATAATTTACAGACCCTCTGCCTTAAAAATATTGAAGGACTCTGTTTCAGTACCTCTTCGGAGGAATTTCAAAGGCCATCAACTCTTTGAGGGAAATTTTTAAACAGCCACTCTTGTTCTAGATTCCCCCACAATAGGAAACATCTTCTCCATGTCTACCCATCAGGACCCTTCAGGATTATATATGCTTCAATCAAGTTGCTCCATTACTCTTCTAAACTCCAGTGGATACAAGACTCACTCGTCCAACCCTTCTTCATAAAACAAATTGCCCATTCCAGGTTTTAGTGGATAGGTTCATGAATAGGAAACCTTTGGAGGGATATCGGCCAAGTTTAGTTTGGGAACATGGTCGGCATGGACTGGTTGGACCAAAGGGTCTGTTTCCATGTTGTATGACTCTGAATCAATAAGCCTTCTCTAAACTATCTCCAATGCATTTATAACATTACTTAAATAAGGTGACTAATACTATGTACAGTATTTCAAATGCAGTCTCACCAGTGCCCTGTATAAAGCATAACCTTCCTACTTCTGTATTCAATTGTCTTTGCAATAAATTCTAACACCCTATTTGCTTTCATGATTACTTGCTGTACCTGTGTACCAACATTTAGCAATTTGTAAATCAATGTGTATACAAATCAATTTGTATTTCTGAACATGATGTAGATTTTGTAGCAATGCCTTCTAATTACATTAGATTAACTAAAAAAAAAACCATCCTCATACTTTCAGGCAATTTTCCCATCTCTCATTTTTACGTCTTCCTTCATTTGCTGTAATGCAAGTATGCTGTTCTCTACTTTTCTGATCCAGCTTGATACAAGTTTAAGAAGCATGATAGGGTCCTTGCTGGAATGGCGTGCTATAACTGGAATCTCACTCCAAGAGTTGAGTCAATATTCCAACCTTAGATTCTAGTGTGGTACTGAGGGGTGCCACATCTTTGTAGGTGTGGTCTTCGGATGAGAGTTTGCATTGAAGTGGTCCACCCTCTCAGGCAAAGATAAAACATCTCAAATAATTATTTTGAACCAGTGGCAATTACCCCTGAACTCTAACAAATAGTTGTCCCTGAATCAACATCACTAAAATAGATGATCTGGTCAATATTGCACTGTTGCGTGTGGAAGCTTGCTGTGGGCAGTTTGGCAATCAGGTTTGCTATATAATAACCATGACTACACTTCAATTAATTCATTCATTGGTTGAAAATGCTTTGGGATGTTGTGACAAGGAAAGGTGCAGTATAAATGCAAATGCCAATATCTGTTCTAGAGTGCAAGAGTGAAAAGCTTTTATGGTGCTCAACATGCTTACAAAGCTAATAATATAATTGTCAGGGCACAGATATATAACATACAAAATCTACAGAGCTTGGTAGTATAGACTTTTTTTTAAAGAAAGAAGCCTTTATGGCACATAAGGAGTCAATAAAAGGAAGGTTCATCGAATTCAGTTCTTGTTACTGCCTTTGAGTGGTACAAAATTTTATTGTGTATGATATGTCTTGAGCTAATTTCATAGGAGTCAGACCTGTATTAAAGGGGTAAGGAAGGCTTCAGTTAATAGATTCATAGGTGATCCCAGACTCCATTCCTAAATTTAATTTAAAGCCAAAGATCTTATGATCAGAAATGTATTCCAAAGGAACATTACTTCAAAAAAGCAATTACTGAAATAGTGACAAATGTTCATCTTTTTTAAGAACATAAAATCAACAAAAAATGTATGGGTGTGAGCTGTTTTACCCTTTGAGCTTGTGTCACTATCGAAAAAACTCATGGCTGCCTTTTTACCTTAATTCGACCTTCCTGCACTATCCCTAACACAGTTAATTCTCCCAGGGCTTAAAAATTGACTTGCCTCTTGCTTGAAAAAAGCTTAATTACTGAGTATCCACAGCTCTCTGGGGTAAAGAATTCAAAGATTCACAACACTGAGTGAAAATAAATTCTTCTCATCTTGATGGCCATTTCCCAATTCTAAGGTTTTGACACTGTCTTCGAGATCACTTCATCAATGGAAACATTTTCTCCTCATGTACCCTGTCCAGTCCCTGAAAATGTTTTGAGTCCATTAAATCGCCTCTTATTATTCCATATTTTGAGAAATATGAGCTTAGTCTACTCAATTTCTTCTCACAGGATAATCCCGTCATTCCAGGAATCACCCTAGTGAACATTTGTTGCATTCCCTCAAGGACATATAAAGATTGTTTCTTAGATAAGGTGACCAAAACTGCTCAAGTATTCCATGTGTGGCCTCACCAATACTCTGTGTAATTGTATTAAGACTTTTTTACTCTTATGCTCAAATCCCTTTGTAATGAAAGCTAACCTATCATTTGCCTTCCTAATTGCCTGCTGTACCTGCATATTAACTTTGTGATTCACGTATACAGCACTCAGGCCCTTTTGAATGCAAATATTTCCTAGCCTTTCACATCCAAAAATATTCTTCTTGTTCATTTATCCTACCAAAGTGATAACTTTATGTTTTGCTACTCTGTATCTGCAAAATTCTTGGCTACTCACTCAACCTGTCTGGATCCCTAAGCAACTTCATTGCATCCACTTCATTATTTACTCTCCCATCTAACTTGGTATCATTAGAAAACATGGACAACTACACCCAGTTCCCTCAAGTAATTTACATGCTTTGCAAATATTGGATATGCGAGGGCTGATCCTTTCAATACACTACAATTCAGAACCTGCCAGACCAAAATTATCTCATTTATTCCCACACTGTGCTTTTTGTCAATTAGCATGAGCTCTATCCATCCTATATGTTACCTCCAATTCCATAGATCTTAATTTTGTGTTAAACATTTACTTGGTGCATTTTGAAAATCTTAGTACACCATATTTACGGTTTTCTCCTTACCCATCTGACTGGTTACATTCTCAAACACCAAAAGACTTTTCAAACGCTATTTCCCTTTCACAAATCCATGCTACTTAATCATATTGTGAGTTTCTAAGTGACCTGTTATTACATCCCTAATAACAAATTCCAGCATTTTGTCTGCTGCTAATGTTAGGTCAATTGGCCTATAATACCATCTCTGTTCTTATTCCTTAATGACAGGGTTATATTTGCTTCAAATCCTTAGGAATTACATAGAATCTAAGGAATCTGGTGGATCAAAATCAATGCATCTGCTGTCTCTGCAGCTATCCTTTTTAAAAAAATCTAGGTTACAGGTTGTCAGGTTCAAAGGATTTGTTCCTATTCGTTCCCACTGTTTTGTCCTGTAATAGGTCTTAAATTACGCTGATTTTGGCTTTACTTTCCTCATTCTTCTTGGACCTTTGGTTCCCCATTATTTCCAAAATACTTATTGTGCTTTCTACTGTGAAGATATACACAAAGTATCTTTCTAATACTTGACAGTAATATTTGGCATTTCTTTATTTTCCATTATAATTGCTAATAGGTCCAAGATACACAAATTATCTTTCATTTTGTTTGTTGTCCTAAAATGAAATTGCAGTGCAATGTGGGACTGAACTAAAGTGCCCAGAGCTGTGATACAACCACTGAGGAAGGGAAGAGGGGTACTACACCTCCTATTAATATGAGCATATTTAATAATGTTTAACAGTAAGAGAGTAATTTCTTCTTGGGTTCCATTGGGGTCACAGGTGGCATTAGATCAGAAGAGTTTGTTTTTTCTCATCTGCATCTCATCTGCTTTTTGAAGTAGAGTTCAGAATATTTTCACTGTATAATAGATGGTGCTGAGCATTGCAAAGCAACACTGTGAATTGAAACATTTCAAAAATTGTTTATTTAGTTATGCATATTTTAAAGAACTTTTAGAATATGATTTCACGTATAAAATGTATGCTGTATCGACAACTCTTATTTTTCTTACATCGGCATTTCTAGACCCTCAAACTATCATAAGCTGTATTCCTCGATTTAATTTGCATAATAGATTCTTGCTCTTCTGTCATTTTCACTTAGCCTTTCTTCCATGTTTTTAAATGTGGATGCCTATCTCTCTATATCTAATCTCTTTGTTGCCCTACATATACAATGGGTGACGACTTGTTTCTGCTGTCACTGTTGAAGGACTGTGAAAGTCTTGAGGGCAACGTATCTTTGTACCTAGTTCCTCAGCCATTTTACAAAAGTATTCTGCATGGCACCTTGAAGTACTGCATTTTGACACTGGAGCATTTGCTGCTTCAAAGTGTTAATGGGTCAATGCTATTAATTGGCTTTAGTTGTTCTTGATATAAAATTGTATTCGACAGTGATGTGCATTTCAAAAACATGCTGTCTTGAGATTAAGAGATTGATATTTTTTCTTTAAAGAAATAGGCAATTAGCTCATATTTTACAAGAAGCAACACAGACATTGATCAAAACATTGGTTACCTGGATTTTATTGGCTAAATGAATATCAGTAAAAAGATAAATTGCTTAAGGCACTTAATAGGGTAAAAATTCAGAAATTTTGATCATCGGCCTGCTCGTCTCCTCCCTATTTCTGTGTTTCTATGTAAAACGATGGAAAATTAGACAATAAATGATTAATTAATGTGTAGTCTCACATTAGCTTTGGTTGTGATTTGCATTCATGGCTTAGCTATTCCAATATGCTGATTGACAAAATCAGGAGAAAAGTGTTGTTTTTCTATATATTTCCTAAACATATAATCAGAATAAAATATTCCATGTGTGGGAATACTGGGAGACTAATTGTTCTGTAATACAACTTCAATGATTAAAATCATGGCTTTTTGGATTGAGTAGTGTTGGCACCCATAATGGAAAAAAAAATCAACTGTGCACAAAGATGAATCAGTTGATTTGGCAATGGTGACAAAGAGGGTATTAACATACTAGAGGTTTTAATATGTCAGCAGTTTGTTCTGGCAAAAGTTGAAGCCAATCTGTTTAGAAAATAATCTGGGTAAACTTCTTCAATTTTTGTTCCTATTCTGTCTTCCTAGCTTTATGTAGTTATGAGTAGGCTAGATGCTTATTTCAAGCCCTTTGGTGCTCTTAAGTAAGTTGTTTCTCCAACCAAGTTTAAAATTATTTCTTTCAGCAATTATCAAGTATCCACCCTGCTTTGCTCACAAAAAATAACTTGGGGTCAAGAAATCACTTCAAGGTTTCATGGTGGTGTTGGTGTTACAATTTCCACACTATCATCTAAACTAATCTATTATAAAGAATTAAACTTGAAACTTTAATTGTAATTATTTGCAGTAATACATGGACAGAAGATTTTAATTCTGGAACATTTATAGCTGAATTAAATAGGCTGGGACTGATTTGACTGACCTGTGTCCCTGAAAACGTTCCACTTCCCAGATACAAGCATACAAATAAAACCAGAGGGGTACTCCAAGATTCTCGCCATACTTTTCATCTTTAACAGCAAATCAGTTGCTTCAGTTAAAGAATGTACAAAGAAACTGGTGTTGGGAGGGCAGCATGACATTTAAGTGAAGACTCTTGTAGCACTGTTGTGGTATCTCTACTTCTGTACAAGAAGGCCTGAGTTCAAATCCCATTTTCTCCAGAATGATGAGAACATTTCTGAATAGGGTGATTAAAAATATCTAACACAAATAATCCTGTTTTGACCTTTCAATCTCCTAACAATGATCAGATCATTTTGGTGCCTCCAGACCGGAAGTACCAACACTGGCAGCTAGGTTTACAACTGCAGATCTTTTGGCACTTGTATTGGTGATGTGGGATTAGCACTGTGGTTGTACTTAATACAATGTTCAGATGCAGCGCTTTTTGTTTCCACTGATTCTTGCCTTTACAGGAGATGACAGAAGTACACCTCTATTCCAGAGTTTCAGGTGCTTTCTATGACAGATCAGTGGGCACTTCATTTTAATATAATTTAGCTTTTCTTAAAAATAGGGTGTTGAGTGGTTAAGAAACACAGAAGAATGGGTTTCCTGAATGTCCTATAACAGTTTAGTGGGAATAGGGTCAAGAGGACAGAATGTTGCAGAGGAGATAAAACTGGAGAAAACTTGAGTTAGAACAGGAAATTCAGGACTTAGGTAGGAAGGCGGCTGGTAAAAAGTTTAGATGACCCTATGCAATGGATGCTATTTAACAGAGAACAATGACACTCAAGCGAACTTGGCAAAACTAAATCAGACCTGGTGATGTTTGGCTAAATCTGATGTAATGCTGAAACCACACAGCCAGATTGTTCATTGCAAGTTCCCACAAACAGATAAATGATAAGAGAAAATTTGTCTGCTTTCGTTGTATCGATTAGGGGATAAATATTTTCTGATTTATCATGGTTACCTCCTTGGCTTTTCTTTGAAATACTGGTGTGGGATCTCTTAAGTTGAGAGGCAGATGAGGTCACTTATTCATCTCAACCAAAGCATGTTATCCCTGAAATTTCTTCGGAACTACAATGAAGTATTATCAAGCTTCAGTTTTCTGCCTAGTTCCATGGTTGGACTTGAAGTCAAACTTACTGACTCAAATGGGGGTCTGAACGAGAGCATCAAAGGTAACAGGGAATGACTGACAAACAAGTCACCAGTTAGCATGACATTATGGCAGACAGAAAAACAAAGGCCAGAAAGTTGGGAGAAAGAGTTTGCTGCACACATTTAAGTGCACATTTTCGAAATGGATTCTTAAGATACTAGTAGATTTTGGAGAATCTTGCCATTATGACAAGTAATGCCCAGATCTTTGCGTTTCTGGAACATTGGAAACCAGGCATAAGACCTACAAAGTGTATCAGGGATCTGAAGTCCCAACATGCTGACTTTCACGGGAGTTTGAATTTCTGATGGGCAAATACGCTGCTCTCTGGAGCCCCCACAGAAGTATCTGACATTAAATTAGAATTAGAGATATCAGTAGTTGTGATGTACTTAACTGGACAGCAAACCAGAAACGTTGGACACAATAGTCTTGGTCTAACTCCTGGGTAACTACACCATTGACTGCCCATACCTCCGCCCTCATCATTACTTCCATTGAATTTCTCCGCTCCCCCACCCCGCAACCATCGCTTTTGACTGTGCTAAACCCCAACCACCTCCTGATTTGATCTGAATACCATCTCCCGACCACCAACTACCAACTTGGATACCGCATTATCATTGGACTAACCCCTCGATCTGAGCTGACTATTCTCACCACCCAATGAACCTTCTTAATCTGACCTGACCAGCCAGTAAAGTGACTACCCTTCCTTACATGACTAGCCACCCTGATCCGACCTGATCAACCTGGTCTGACTCCTCAACCTGACTACTTCTCCAAATATGATTCTCCCTGACCCACTTCATAAACTTGTCCTCCTATCCACCTGCCAACTTATGCATCTGTTAGCATACCCACCTGCAACCTTGCCCAGCCTATCCACTTAACTCACCCACTACCCATTTATTCTCTCACTGACATTATACCAATGTTTACACTGGACGTTTAAACTAACCAAACTGCAGCGAGTATTGTAAAAAGGGAGGGCATTTTCCACACTGATTTTCTTCATAGGTCTCTGTGTGACTTTCTATACTAAACAATCTTTACTGGCTGCTACATAACAGGTAAGTGTGCAGATTTCTGATTGATCAGTGGTGGACACAGAGGTTCCAAGGATGCTTGGAGATTTGGTACAAACAGCACTTTGATTTTGATAACATTGCTCAAAAATAAAGTGACACCCATTTCATATTATTATCATATTTTGGGAGCTTGCTGTGCCCAATTAGCTGCTGCATTTCCTATTTTATGACAGAATCTACCTTCTAAAAATAATTCATAGACTGTAAACCAATTTGGAACATCCTGAAAAGCTCAATATAAATGCAAGTCTTTCCTTCATGAAAAAAATACTGTTCCTATGAAACTGCATCTATTCAATATTATAACTAAATTGCTGCATAACTTTAGTTAAAAACATTCATAACCCATTACCAAATTGTTCAGTTGGCAAACTATTTAGCCAAAGCAAATAATGACATTTTCTTTTACAACTTAATTTGACCTGCCCCTGCAGCCCTACTTGCCAGATCACCATTTCAGATCTGCTATATGATTCGTTATTCCTGTTCTGCTTTACTTTAATCCACTTTTTATCTATTTCTTTATATAGCCTTGGAATTCAATGTACAGTAATTACAAAGGCAAGACTGTGACTACAGCTTTGCTTTTGGCTTGTTGGCTGACATACACAGAAACCAGCTACCGATTTTAAGAGTCTCCAAATTAGCCCACTGAAAAATATGGCCTGGTAGAGTCTTACATATATTAGATAGTCTACATGAAACGGTCCCTCCGTAATGGAACATACAAACCACTTACCGAAACCAAGGAAGTTTTGGTACAAGTTCACAGAGCAGAAATTTAGATATCTCCAAATGTATGCCTAAGTATAGTTGGAGTTTAACCAGTTAACATCCACAGCCACAGAGTACTGGTGAGATTCCAATAACATTATTTGTTATTTTTTTTAAATCACAGGCACTACCACAGCATGGATGAATTCAGCCATTATGATCTTCTGGATGCCACCACGCATAGAAAAGTTGCTGAAGGACATAAAGCCAGTTTTTGTCTGGAGGACTCCTCTTGTGATTATGGGTATTATAGAAGATATGCTTGCACAGCACATTCACAGGTACACGAAAAACCTTTAATATTATACAGTTATGAAACAAATCAATGATTCTTAGAAATAGCTTTAATCTGTGTTAGTTGTGGCTCAGTTGCTAGCATACTGACCTGAGTTAGAAAGCTGTGGGATGAAGTCCCACTCTATATTTGAGCACAAAATTCAAGACTGACAGTCCAGCGGGACAGATTGGAAAGTATTGTACTGTCAGAGATATTGTATTTCAGATACAGATTAAATCAAGGGTCTGTCTCTCTTCTGAGGTGAATGTTTTGAAAATGAGTGGGAGAATTATCCCCTGTGTCCTAGCCAATGAACCAATGACACAAAAATTGTTTGGTCATTGTCACATTGCTGTTTGCAGTAGCATGCTGTGCACAAATTAGCTGTTGGGTTTCCTACATTAAAACAATGAACACACGTCAATGTACTTAATTTGGCTTAAAGCCCTTTGGGATATCCTGTGGTGATGAAAGACTCCAAAGGAATTAAAGTAATTCTTTATGTGTTAAGTAGAGAAAATACCACCAAGTTGATGTGGAAACGTCAAGTTGGATCCCCAGAAAATTGATCTTGAGACCGCTACCTTTTTCAATTTACGACAATATTCAATATCCTACTAATGTATATAAAATCGCATTAGGTAGAGCAAGAAAAGGATTTGCAAGGATTCCAGAAAGTGCACATTGTACAATTGCTGATTTTCTGCTTTTCTTTTTATTTTTTTTCTCTTCCATCATTTTTCTGTTGGATGTGGACCTCACTCCTCATGGACTTGAAACGTTAACTCTATTTGTCTTCCACCAGATGCTGCCAGACTTGCTGAATTCTTCCAGTACTTTGTTTATATTTCCAATGTCTAGCATCTGCAAAAAGATTTTAATTTTATTAAAGGACAGTACATTTCCTTTCCTAGAATACATTAGTGAACCAGATGGTCTTTTACAATAACCTATGCTAGTCTCATGGCACCATTACTAAGACTAGCTTTCAATTTCCAATTCATTAATTAGCATGGGCCTTGGGATTCCTGCTCTATTGACAGTACCACTGCTCCACTATCTAGTATATTATATGTGTATTTCTGTACATTACTCAGAGCTTAGCTTTTCTCAAAGCCGATTTTATTTTAATAAATGATATTGCAGCTTGCAATTTAAACAATTATTCTTTATGTGTTTTCTTTGCATATACTTTAAACATTGAACAAGAGAATCAGGTCAAAATGGTTAATGGAATTTAATTTAGCAATATGTTTGGAATTCCTAGAATTAGCTTGACAGAAGAAAAGTATCATGTTCTTTGGATAAATAGAAAAGGTCTACAACAGTTCTGAGATGTCGACTTGCATTGCTGTCATGCAGTTAAAAAATACCATTTTTACAATGTAGGCTTTTATACCAGTGATTTGCTTAATTTTGTAATATAGTAAGGCTTCCCATAATTCATGTGGGGTTTTACATTTTCAAAAAACAACTGAACGATTGCTTAGGTTTTACATTTTCAAAAAACAAATTAACGAATTCTTAGCCAGAATCTTTCCTCCTGAACTATTTTTATCTGGATAAAGAATGTACATGAATATTATTCTAAGATTTACTTTTGCAGCTAATCAGCAGTGGGTGGGGAAGACCCATGCAAGTCAGTGAGAGCAAAATTGCTTCAATTATTTGTAGAGGACTTACAGAATTTCTTCAACTTCAGTATGGCTGTAAGGAGCTTGGCCTGATGGACATTGAACATCAGCAACTCTACTTACTCCTATCATTGACTAAAACTAACACTATTGGTAGAAGCAGGGAACCACATTTGTTTGTTATTTTGCTGCTAACTCAGGTGTTGGTTTTGATATAAATTTTTCTGAATCCATTACTTGTACAGGATCATTGTAGCACATTTGAGAGTACGCCTATGAATGCTACATGTTGTCACCATCAAAACAAAAATATAATAGAGCATAGTATTCATTCGGCTTAAGTTAATGTTACATACATAAGATAGTATAAAAATAGAAAAGTACTTACATGAATTTCCTATGAACAAAAGTGAATTGTAAAATAGTACTCAATTCTCTATTGTAGTCTTTAGGTGTCTTGTCAAGAAATTTTAAAAGAAGAACACTGGAAATCACATTTTATAGAAATATGGAGATAAAATTTATTAGTTAATTCAAATTATTTAACTTTTACTGTCAGGTACAAAAGAGCTTTAATAGAAAGTGACCCACCCTACCATGCTTGCACTTCTGTCAGTTACTGCCATTCAAATTAATCAGCCAATTAGAAAGCCGAATGCCTGAACTTTTAGTGATTATCTTGCTGGACTAGCCGCACAGGTCATAAATACAAATTCTGCCAAAATTGTATTAACAGCTACATATGATGGCCATGAAAAGCTTCCTGATTGTCTTTAAATAAGCCAACTGGTTCAATAATGCCTTTCAGGCATCAGCCACTCTATTTAGCTTGACTCAAGTGAATTTTGCCTGTAGCACATATTGTTTTTAATGCCTTCAATTAGAGCTGGGCAATGTAACAACTCAAGTGTGTAGAAAAATTCTGCTGTTCCAGAACATCCCTGAAGGACAACTGACTGAATGCAAGGCTTCTCTAAATGGCTTGATTAAAAATGGGAGTAATTTGTCATGAGACATACAAAGTTTTATGGTTAAGAAAAAATACGTTCACAGCCTTTTCATAAAAATGCCATTAATTTACAAAAGGAAAGTTTAGTCAACCAAATTTGAAGCATATTTCTTAATATATTTATATAAATTGTATACTTTTCTAAAATTGACTTTGTGTTTGCAGGGATTGAGTCCAGGGTGTTACGATACCTACAATGCTGATATTGACTGCCAATGGATCGATATTACAGATGTTAAGGCAGGAAACTATATACTAAAAGTAAGTGATACTACACAGTCATCACTGAAGGGGAATAACATTATTGGAATTGTCACTGATGTGTTTTTTCCTCATTCAACAGGTTGCAGTAAATCCAAGCTATTTAGTGCCAGAATCAGACTACGCCAATAATGTTGTTCGTTGTGACCTTCGTTATACAGGCCATCATGCTTATACCTCGGGCTGTAGAATCTCACAGTAAGTGCTTGAGACATTACGTAAATCCTAGGTGTCACTTCTGATCCAAACCAATTTGGTGAAAGTGAAACTAAGACATATTTCTTTATAGATAGAGTTGATCAACTTTTCAGTCTTACAGCTCCATCCGCAGACCAGTTCTACATGTTTCCGCTTTTTGTTAATGCTTTCTTTCTATATGTAGAAGTGTTATTACAAACTTCTGAATTTTTTTGCCCCATCACCAAATCACCTAAGATTTTTAAAAAATCTATTAACCACCACCAGTAAATTGTTTTCCAACATTTCCCCCTTTTTTAAAATTGAACCTATTTTTATAATCAATTGGCTCAGAGATGTTATTATATGACTCTAGATCAAGTGGGACTTGAACCCAGTCCTCATGGTCCAGGGATAGGCACACTACCAGTGCACCACATGACAGCCCTGATATGTCTCTTTTATATCCACCCAGTCAATTAACCCCAACCAGCTGCATATTAACATTAGGTAATTTGTATACAAAAAACATCCAAATTGGTGTAAAATATGCTGTTACATATTGCAATTTTAGAAGAAAGGTATGACATTAAAAAACACTAATCCTTGATCCATTGCATTTACATCAGTAATTAGTATTCTTTATGCATATATGAAAGCAAAATAGTTTTAATCAATTTCCTTGTGAGAAGCAAGTAAAATATGAGAAACTAGTAAAGTAGATTGCAGTACTTCAAAAAAATTCTGAAGTTGTCATTGTACGCTTCAATATAATTAATCAGTCAAGAATTCACATGAGAACATATAATTAGACGAATATGCATTTAGCATTAGATCAGATCACATATATTTCTTTGTGTAGAATGACATTACAATATGTATTTTACTGGAAACATGTCATTGCTTTCCCTTACAACATCCTAAAACACACACACAGTGTATGTCATTGATTTGGCTAACTGATCATTATTGTGTCACTTCATTGTCTGGCATTAAATTAATGTGAACAGACAAATGTGTTAGTACTATATATAATGAGTGGGAAAGAACACCATTGAAATCCTAGGATTGTGAACAATTAAAACACTGGTATTCTGTTCCCAAAGGTAACATAAGTCTAACATTTTTGAATCTTGCTCAATTAGCAGAGAAATTGGAATGGAATCATGAATCGTTGCTACTTCTACCCAGACCAATTGTTGTAACAAATATTTCTATCATGCTATTGTATTTTATTCATTTATCTGCAGCCTATTCCACGTGCATAGGCAGGCATATTGTATTTATTATTCTTCTGTCAGGACTACACTGTACATGTCTAATCCTAAATACCATTGTTGCACTGCTCCCCTCACTCTGTCCCTTTTTCCTGCCAACCCTTCGCCTCCACATGTTAAAATATCTCTCTCTCTCTCTTAAGTTTAAATGATATGCGGTTCCTCTTCTACGTATGTGTTGATGTAATTCAAATAAAATAATTTGATTTTTTTAAAAATGTGTAAGATACTTATGAAGTTAATAATGAATTCCCTCTCTTAAAAAATGCAATACTAAACTGGCCTAAGATGGACTTTAGAGACAGAAGTATGTATTTTATCAATACCAAAGATTATATTGAAGGTAATTATTGTATAGGATCACTTCGGATAGGGGAACAAGACAGCCAAGTGTATAAAGTTTGTTTTTTTTTAACTGTAGATATATATTGTTGGAGAAAAACAGAAGTGGCACTACAACATTAGAACTATTTCACAATTGTTATAAAATCATGGTCCTTACTGTATGAGAACGCCAGGAAATGACAATTTACAATATCAAATTATTTTATTTATTTGTACAGATATCTTGCACCATTGTTTTCCTAATTCTGGGTTTACTTACTATTTAATGTATACATTTTGTAGAATATCCTACTCTTAACACTGAATACTCCCAACAGGCCCTCAGCCCTTAAAGTTGAGCAATAAATGCTGGCCTATCCAACAATGCTCTCATTCCATAAATGAACTGTTCTAAAAAAAAATCACTCCCCAGAATGCATCTTATTTGCCACTGCAAATTAGGCAACTAGGACAGTCTTGTGAGAATTCTTTGCTGGTTTTCCCTGGTCCAACTGTTATGTTGGCTCATGTCTGGCAAAACAACATTTTCTTTTCAAATTTGTTAATGGGACATGTGCATTACTGGCCAGATCAGCAATTATTGCCAATCCTTAATTTCCCAGAGGGCAGTTAAGAGTAAACCACATTGCTGGGGATCTGGAATCATAGATAAGGATGGCAGGACATTAGTGAACCCATGTGGGTTTTTACAAGAATCAACAGTATACCTCAATCGTCCATTTCAATCGGCCCCACTACTGAATTTTTATTGAGTTATGTCCATAGCTCTACTGACTTTTATAAACTTTACTCATCACAATTGATGTCTTGATCACATGAAGCATACTGAGTCAAATTCATTACTGTTAGGAACTTTCTGGATTACTGTTGTGAACTATTATTGTTGCTTCCATTCCCATCCAGCAGTCATTGTTTAAGCCCCTTTTTGAAAAGTCTCTATAATTGCATGCAATTCCTCCTCTCTGACCTTTCCTTCTTCTGGTGCTAGCTTTCCTCATCACTGAGTTCTCCTTTTGACTTTTATTCCATCACAACTCCAGTTTTGGATTGGAGCTCTAATATGGTAAGGACCATGATTGTGAAATATTTCAAACAAATGTTGCAGGCAGTGTTACTTCTGCTCCACCCAGATATATCCACTGTTAGAAAAGTAAACTTTATACACTCAGCTGTCCTGTTTCTCTGTCCCCATTGATCCGATATAATCATTACCTCCACTGTAATCTTTAGTACTAGTAATATGTATCACAAAAGCTCATTTGGGCCAGTTCATTGTTGCAAGCTAAAACAAAGTACAAAGGATTTTTGGAAATAGCTGATGAATATCTCCACTCTCTGGTCCTAATATTTTCAAAATTACCTTCAAGATTTGCATCCCTCAATTTATCTGTATTACATACCAATATCTATCTTGCTTCCAGCTGACATGACCTCCTTTTTGAACTTTTTCCAAGTTTATCACATCTCTAAATAAAAGGATGCTTTTTGCTTTTGCATGAGTACGTTCTCCAAAGTTATGGAGGCAGTTTTCAACTCTCAAATTATCCATCACTTTGAAAGTTTTGGCCTAATCCCTGTTGTCACTGTTAGTTCTAAAGAATTTCTTATACAATCATCTACTTTTGCAGAAAAAGAATACTATTTGTCTGCTATGTTATTCTGTTAATTTTGTTTCTGATGCAGTGCCCAGATCTTTGTAATGATCATCAATTACTTTCATTGTAAATAATTAAAACATGCATTTCTCTTAGGAACAGGAGTAGGCCATTCAATCTGTTCTGTTATTCAATCAGATTATGACTGATCTGTGACCTGACTCCATATGCCAGCCTTTGGCCCATATCCCTTAATAAGTTTGCTGAACAAAACATTATCTTTCCCAGGTTTACAAATGACAACTGGTATAACTCTGGCCAGTTTCTTAACTTAATCAATTGGATCTTTTAGTCAAATTTTTCTACAGGTCGAATTTTACATTTCCCTGTTGGGGGGTTTTCAGATGGAGGTGGGGCTCTGTAAAACTCTTGCTTGTCCGTCGCACCAGTCTCCCGCCCATCCTGATCTCTCTGTCATGTGTCGATAGCACTAGGTCACTTGGTATATCTGCATGCATGCTAATTATGCTGTTAACTGGCCAATCTATTACATGGTCAATCCATGACCATGTAAGGGCTGTTTCCTGCCAAGATCTCATATGTTCAAGCTGGGAGAAGTTCAGCAATGGAGGGGTGTGTGCTCTGAAAGTGACCCTCCTCAAGCCTTAAATAGGAATTGTGAGGGGGACTCCACTTACAGCCTATCATCATCAGGCCCCCCATCCCCTACATGGTCTGATCCTTATAGATGCTCCCTTCCAATTTGGTCTCTCCATGAACATCCCCACTTTTTTCTATCAAACGCCCGCCCTCCTGTCCAAGAGACCTGCACTTACCAAGATCTGGGATTTAGACTCTGGGAACTGCTTATAGTCTCAATCCTGTCCACTGCACCTTCCAATAGTTGGGTCTTTTGAACTGTCAGCTAGTCAGATTGGCCAGCAGTTTTCTGGGGTGGGATTTCCTCCAGAATCTCCTTGAGCATTTAACAGCTATGGGGCAGCTGTTATTGCTGTTGATGTATTCTCCACTAAATCTTTGAGTACCAGGCTTGGAAGCAGTGTCATCTGAAAACTTCATAGTTTCTTAGAATCGCTACAGTGCAGATAGATGCCATTTGGCCCAATGACCCTCCAAAGAGCATCCCACTATACCCGCACAACCTTGCATTTGGCATGGCTAATCCACCTAACCTGCACATCTTTGGACTGTGGGAGGAAATGGGAGCACTTGACAGAAACCCATGCAGGCAGAAGGAGAATGTGCAGACTCCACACAGCCAGTTAACCGAGCTGGAATCGAAACCACGTCCCTAGCACTGTGCTAACCACTGTGCCACCATGCCACCGCGGCCCACGTTTCAAAGTTTGAAAATAATTCAATTGGTACCTTAGGAATTTAATTTCTTTTATAAAATAGTGATTATAAATAATAAACCACGTAGAAGTGATTCGCAGTATTGCATTCTAAATATTAGATAAAAGTTTAGAGTAAGATATCTTATTTTGAAAGAGACTATTTTATGAAATATAGCACTACCCTTCACTTAGAAATGCTCTGTGAGTTGCAGAAAGCATCTTCATTTCCTTCCATTTTTATACCTTGTTGGAGCTCTTGGCTGCTGTACCTCTTAACTAGTTATAATGATGGGATAGTCTGAGCAAGTTTGTTTTCTTTTTAACCGTAACTGCTATGCAATAAGCTAGTTATGGGCCTGTAAGTGGCACTGATTCTTTGAAATCGTCAGATGCAAGAGCATAAAATAGATTGAGATTGATGAAAGAGTATTCAAACCGTTGAAGCTAATCCCTTTAATATTTAAAATAGTCCATTTTAATGCATCAAATGTAAAAAAAAATTCTTCTGTACTTCTGTGCTTTTCAAATTATCCCAAGAAATTATGACTCTTTAAATCAATATATTTTCACATTGACAGCTTCATACTTTCTTCTGGCCTAGAAACCGATATCCATTTCAAGCCTACCGACTCCCACAGCTACCTAGAATACACCTCCTCCCACCCACCTTCCTGCAAAACTGCCATCCCCTATTCCCAATTCGCCTCCGCCACATCTGCTCCCAGGATGAGGCATTTCACTCCCGTACATCTCAGATGTCCTCGTTTTTCAAGGGCCGCAACTTCCCCCAGTGGTCGAGAACGCCCTCCACTGTGTCTCCCGCATTTCCCGCAACTCATCCCTCACACCCCGTCCCCGCAATAACAACCAAAAAAGAATCCCCCTCGTCCTCACGTACCACCCCACCAACCTCCGGATCCAACGCATCATCCTCCGACACTTTCGCCATCTGCAATCCGACCCCACCACCAAAGACATCTTTCCCTCCCCACCCTTATCTGCTTTCCGGAGGGACCACTCTCTCCGTGACTCCCTTGTCCGCTCCACACTCCCCTCCAGCCCCACCACACCCAGCACTTTTCCCTGCAACCGCAGGAAGTGCTACACCTGCCCCCACACCTCCTCCCTCACCCCCATCCCAGGCCCCAAGAAGACTTTCCACATCAAGCAGATGTTCACCTGCACATCTGCTAATGTGGTATACTGCATCCGCTGTACCCGTTGAGGCCTCCTCTGCATCGGGGAAACCAAGCGGAGGCTCGGGGACCGCTTTGCAGAACACCTACGCTCGGTTCGCAATAAACAACTGCACCTCCCAGTCGCGAACCATTTCAACTGCCCCTCCCATTCCTCAGCCAACATGTCCATCCTGGGCCTCCTGCAGTGCCACAACGATGCCAGCCGAAGGTTGCAGGAACAGCGACTCCTATTCCGTTTGGGATACCTGCAGCCCAATGGTATCAATGTGGATTTCACAAGCTTCAAAATCTCCCCTCCCCCTACCGCATCCCCAAACCAGCCCAGCTCGTCCCCGCCTCCCTAACCTGTTCTTCCTCCCACCTATCCCCTCCTCCCACCTCAAGCCACACCCCCATTTCCTACCTACTAATCTCATCCTGCCCCCTTGACCTGTCCATCCTCCCTGGACTGACCTATCTCCTCCCTACCTCCTCATCTACACTCACCTTTACTGGCTCCATCCCCGCCTCTTTGATCTGTCTGTTTCCTCTTCACCTATCTTCTCCTCTATCCATCTTCTATCCGTCTCCCCCTCTCTCCCGATTTATTTCAGAACCCCCTTCCCCTCCCCCATTTCTGAAGAAGGGTCTAGGCCCGAAACGTCAGCCTTCCTGCTCCTATGATGCTGCTTGGCCTGCTGTGTTCATCCAGCTCTACACCTTGTTATCTCAGATTCTCCAGCATCTGCAGTTCCTACTATCACTGTAAATAATGTGTTTGGATAAGAACAAAATTGACCTGAACTTTTCTTTTCAGATACTAACTTCATAAAGAACAAAGTGTGTTTAAGAATGGATTGAATCAGTAAAATTGACAAGTCACAAATAAGTCAAGTCAAGCTTGAGTCTACTTGGCACCATTTCAATTTCAACAGCCCCAAACAGGTATTATTTGCAGGAGATGCTGAAATCTATGAGAACAAATGTTTTAAAACCCGTAACACTGTGACTGGGATCTCTGGAAACAATCTTTACTATTATAAATTTTGACATTTTTACTCATTCACTACACATTGCCATTGTGATGTCACTTGTTACAGTTAACATCCATTTTGCTTAGATGCATTCTCCCAGGACCAAGGATTGCAATGGGAATAATGCCAGATGGTATCTTATTACTGAATGAAAGAATGAACGTTTGGTATGATTAGACTGTATGTAACCTGTTGTGATAGACACTTGAGAATAAATAAGCGCATGACTATTCTAAATCATCCATTCCAAAATTGTTTTATGTCATGGCAACCAGGTTACCACCATGACAGAATATCGTAAGACAGGGCATATATCATAAAAAAGTGGATGAGCTAGAAAAAGACATGTGATTATGCACAATACTGTGTTTACATTTAACAGTGATCCAATTACATTCCACTGTTTCATTCCAAACAACGAATCCTTGGTTTGTTGCAGGATGATTGCCTTGTTAACATGCACATATAACTAAGCACGTTATAATTACAGTGAAAACATGAGAACTGTTTCTGTCTGTTGTTGTGCATTGATGCGCCAAAAAGATGTAGAAAATTAAGTGCTACTGCAATGCATTTGAGATCTTCAGAGACCCGTTAATATATGTTTTATGTACTATTTGACCCCAAATCATCATTGGGGTCACTTCAATTGGTTAAGGGCTTGTATGCCTTTTTGTAAATTTGAGCCTGACCTCTTCATCAGAAGTTCCTCAATGAGTGGTTAAAATTTATTCCTGTGGAATAAATGTTAAAGGCATTTCATCTTTTTTTGTTCTACAATAAAAGCTGAGCAGAATTACAAATACAGTAACTAAAATCTAACTGTCTTTGTATAAAACTATGTAAATATGAACAAAAGAACTTAAGAATGAAGGAGCTTATGAATTCACACTTCCGTTTCTAAACATAATGCTCAACGGATGGTTTGTTTCTATCACTACAGTATCTCAGATTTTTTTTACTGTGGATGAAAATGGTTCCAAATCATAACAATTATTTAAAGTACAGCTTTTAAAAATTAGTAATGACAATGAAGTGTAGCTTTTGAGTTTAAGTTAATGTAAATTTTCATGTTTACATTTAGTGCAATCTTTGCTCATGCAAAAGTTTGACTGCTCCAGAAATAAATTCAACATATTTATCCTTATGGATAACTTCTGAAAATTAAGATTGCTAGCAAATATAAAAGATGAAGACTTACATATAATTAAATTATATTTGGAGAAAAATAAAACTGGATTAAAAAATCAATTCAACCACTAAAGACAAGAACTTATATTTGGAACAAATTAAAACAAAAATGGCTTCAGGTCTCTGGAATTAACTTGTAAAAGCCCTTTTGGGATTCCTGATCAGCTTCATGAATAGTGGCAACTATACAAATAAATGTGAAGAAATGCACCATCAACAAAATAATATAAAGCCTGAGGGTTTGATGTCACAATTATATAAAACACCAGCAACTCAGAAAACAGGGCAGATGCAGACTGAAGGCCATCTTTCATTCATATCTACCAAGTGCAGAGATAGTTAAAAGAACATGTACATTGGCTACTTACACAAATTGATGATTTAAACACAAATAAGGAAAGACACAAGGCACATTTGGGAGGGGGGTGTATATGGTTGTGGCCCACTTAATGAGGTGGAAGGGTAGCAGATGTGGTCCCTGACCCCTTTTTGATCTTACCAAGCTTAAAGTTTTGGCAACAAGGCCCACCATGGACAGCCTTTCCACCATGCTGCCAACTGAGCCTCTTAATTGGGGAGCAACAAAAACAAAACTGTGAAGGGTTGCTTGTAGGCTATGGGGGCCCCTGTATAATATTCTTTCCTGCAGTCTCCTCCCACTGTCATTCAGTTCAGATTAAGGGCTCAGCACTTTGCTGGGTGGGTGTCATACCAGCATGAGCAGTTACCACCTTCATTATGGTCCTGCTATCTCAATAGAGTTGCCAGCCTCTGATTGGCTGGCAGATTTTGGCAAGCCCCGTGATTCTTGATAGCACGAAGACCCACTGCTGTCCAGTCAACTGCCTGAACAGAACAAGGTGGCACGCGACCCCAGAAACAGGCAAATAGGAATCTCTCTGGTGTGCCTTCTGACAACCAAAATCGCTGTCATCTCCAGATGTTTTCACCAAAAGAATGGTGTATATTTATGAGTCTGAGTAACTATCACCCCGTTGACTGAATGCAAGTTCTGCAAAAATAGGTTGCATAAATTGTCTGGTTTATGTATAGCGTGAAGACTTTCTGTACACACTAATTTTGGCCTAGCAGGAGTACCCAGAAACTGTATACGTTTAATGAGCACTGATAAAAGTGATCCATAAAAATGATCCATTTTCTAATTTTAAAAACTTTCATTTGGATGTGACACCTAAACTCCTAAGTGACCCAACCCTTTTAAGTAATGTGTAAATGGTACACAGTTGCTGAGCTGAAACTGATTTGCCTGAAACATTGACATTGGTGATTGAATGCGTTTGCATTATTGGTTCGTGATGTTTGTTTTATTACCTGTATTTATTGCACATGATGAACTGAAACAATCTGCAGGGTAAGGCCTAAAGCTATACAGTGAATAGAACTACCAATACCAGAGTTCAAAATGAGAAGCAAAAAAGTCAATTAAAGTTTAATTACTGTTATGGATCACATAACACAAGAGACAGTTTGGTCTTTCATGGTATATCAGCTCTTTGCAAATGGTATTAAATTAGTCCCACTTCCCTGCTCTTGCCCCACAGTCCTGCACGTTTTCCTTTCCAAGTATATATCGAATTTCCTTAACTGCTTTTGAACCTGCCTCCACTATTGTTTCAGGCAATATATTCCAGTTCATAACAAGCTGCTATTTAAAAAAAACATTTTTCCTCTCCTCTGATTTCTTTCACTAATTATTTTAAATTTTGTCCTTTGATTATCAACTCTCCTGTCAGTGAGATGAGTTTTTTTTTCTTTATTTCCTCGATCAAAACTTCTCATAATTTCCAATACCTTTATTAGCCATTCTCCAAGGAGAATAATCATGGTTGCTTGTCTTTCATTCTTTGTATTATTCTAGTAAATCTTCACTGCACCCTCTCCATGGGTTTGGCATCATTCCCAAGATGTAATGTTCATTATACTCCAGCCATAGGGCCTAACTAGTAATTTATAAAGGTTCAGCATAATTGCCTTGCTTTTCTACATGAAACCTCTATTTATAAAAGCAAAAATCTCTCACTCTGGAAAATATTAGGGGAAATTATAACTGATTGCTCTCCACCTCTACCCCATTCTGCCTTTAAAATGGCTGTGCAAAGACATATATTCCATTCCCTCATTTTTCTAGGAGGCTTAAATCTGATGCAAGAGTTGTCTCAGCTCCCCTTCCTGAGATTTACCTCGTGGCACCAAGGTATTACCAAGCTACATTAGCTTGATCCACCTTACGTTTGTTAGCTGCACATCAGTGGGCAGATGACAGGAAGGACATAAGTAAGACCCAGCTGTAAAAATCATCTGAGGCCTCCCACAGCATCTCACAGATAATAAAGTGAATTTTAACTTCCTTTCTATGTCTGTTTCATGAAGGTCTGTATTTTCAAAGACGTTTAAATCATGCAGAAATCTTTCAATTGGCTATAGAAATTTCAGCACAGCCAGTAAAGAATTTAATTCCTGACAGTTTAATATTGTTAGTTGTAACGGCAATATTAATATTTACAGTACTCTAAGCATCATTTCCTTTGCACAACTTAAATAGTCTGTTCCAGTCAATCAACATTACCATTTCATCAGTATCAATGATGCACAGTTTGCAAGCAGTAGTATCACAATTAGCTGCTTAATGTTGAAATTTATTTTGAAAAATAATTAAGTTATCCATTTCACACTTCTTTAATGATATAGTCAAGATGAATTGTTCCAGATACAATGGTGTCAAAGATTTTGGACAGAAAGCCAGTGTTTTGAAAAAAACATCACAATATGGAAAAATATAATTCCCCTACATTGGTGTGCTGTTAGTGGATAAAGATACCATAGTTACTTATTCTGGTGATCCTTGTTAATAATTACAGTGCAACATCATTTTGGAAGATAAAGTTGCTTCTGCGGGGCTAACCAAGTATATATAAAAAACAAAATAGCTATATTTATTGACCCTTTTGGGGAAACGTTTCATCATAAGAAGCCCTAGCATGAATGCACAATTTTATAACAGTCAAGATTAATGGTAAAGGCTGTGGGCTATAATTGAATAAAAGAACAACTTCCATTGTAATGGGTTTTATTCTCAAAGATTTTCTATAATAAACATCTTAATACAAAAGATGCTATTTCAATTTGGAACTTAGTTACAAAGAAAAACTTGGTTCATATAAAATGCAAAGAAAATGCTATTGCTGGAAATATGCTCAGTGATAAGTTAAAAAAATGAAATGCCACTAAGTTTACAAGCCTGTTTTGGTGCTTATCACCATATATATCTGCTTTATGATGAATTTCATAATTTTTAGCTGCAGGTAATTTTTATTTCTAGAAATCATTGTATCTGTACTTGAAGCTTATAGTTACTGTAATAATTTGTAGATGGTAGATATGTAATGGTTATTGCAGATTTATAATCCAGAGTTATTTACCTATATCAGATTGTGAGACCTTAACTTGAATAAAAATGTTTTCAACTCGTGATACTGCTTCTTAGCTTTACTTAGAGACATCTAATTCACCCTCATATGTACACATAAATTCATATAAAATTGGAGAAGTGATTGAAATAGAGATCTTTGTAAATTAGGGTTTACATTCATCCCAGGTTCAGCAGTGATGGCAACAGCAGGCACTTAGTAATGATGATTTGTTCATCACTGCCAAATATAATAGCCTATGGCCACAATTTTCTGTTTTTGAGACAGATAGCTCACACATCACCATCGAAACCCAGTGAACAAAAGTCAACAGTGAGCTGACAGACTCAACAACAAACTTGCCCTGCAGCTATGACATGCTGGAAATGGTTTATATTTAGAGCAGAAGGGACTTTCACCCATTAGAAAGGAGGAAGAGCTATTCTCTCCAGCTCTCGACTGTTCCAACAGTCCCAACATTGCCAGAACTTGGTGATGGGCACTATTGAGACTGCATGTGGGCCCATGAGAAGGACTGAGAGATCTAGACTCCAGTTGTTGGGAGGGGAGAGGCTTATCCTCGGGGTGTTTCCCTAATGGGTAAACATTATAGTACCATGTGCTGCTTATTTTTATTTACAAAAGACTGGCAGTGCATCTTTTGAACAGTCTTCCAAGAGAACTTTAAGTTTCACTCACCATGGAATACCTAGAGCAAGTACCAGGAATTCATCATTGATTATTAATATCCTTATATTTGTTCATTCTGAAATCCTGCCCTGCCAAAGTTTGTGGACCACATCTATCAATAAATGTGTTTTTTTTTACTAACTGAAAAGCACTGAAGTTATTTTATTTGTTAAGATCATTATATATGCGTGTCTGTGTGTACTTATCAAGCATTGTAGGGCAGCCAATGCAATTAATTTTATCTGCAGCCATTTTGACGTTTTAGTTTTTGAGACCAGATAAAAGAGGTCAGAAGTGTGCGATACATTTTGCAATTGTCATTATAATGTGCCAGTGCCATTTTCAACTCATATCATTTCCAAAGTTCCGTGATGATGGGCTAGTGATGAGACTGTGACTGTACATGCATAGGAATTGTGGTTGTGGACCTGACATAGAGTCACCCTCCACCAGACCCAAGCAGCAGTGGACATAGCAGCCTCAAGTGTCTGAACAGATTTATTTGGGATTGCACAATGTATCTTTGTAGTATGAGGAAGGGGCAAGAAATGATGCCCTAAACAATGCTTGCTTCAAAACGGGTAGCAACTTGATCATAGTTAATGGAAATTCCATACCTGTTGTCAAAAGAAAAAGAGAACCAAATACAAATATATTAATTGGAATATGAGTTGAGTCAATATTTAGGCCTGAAAGGAGAAGTGTGCTGATCAAAAGGGAACTGAGACCATATAATATCAACATTGCTGCCCTCATTGAGACCTGTTGAGCTGAATAATTGCAGTTGAAAGAAGATGGTGCCAGCATGTACGTTTTGTACTAGGATTGTGGAGAAAGTGGGGGTCAGCATTTTGTGAAATTTGACATGCTATCTTGAAAACTTTCTAAATACAGTTGTTGGGCGCCTGATGATGGACTTTTGTTACCTTGTGAGAGATATGTCAACATTATTAAAATTTTGCACTCATCATGGAAAATACTGATGAATCCAAAAAATTGTTTTATCATGAAATGTACCACGTCGTCTTTGACTTTCTAGAATAGGTGCAAGTGACTACAATACATGCATTCTATTCCATTCCTGAAAGGGAATCATTGACAGAAATGATATGAGGGTGTGGGATATTGCTCTTTAGGATGTGTGCAGATTATCATCTGACCACCACCACACAGTCTTCACACTTCCAAGTGGAAGCAAAACCAGATGCAATATACTCTTAGTCTGAACACTGGCATCTGATTAGTGACAAACTGGTTTGCAGGAGGAATGCCAAAGCTGTTAATTTCACATATATTAAGAGGACAGCCAAACATGAATAAAACAAATGCATCAGAGTCATCCTATATCTGTAATTTTCAAATATACAAATCAAATTGTCAAATGCAGCTTAGAATGATGAAGTGATCATAATGCAATTGAATTCCCATCTTAAGTTTTAGAATGACATGCTTGAGTCAATAACAAAAGTCTTATTTGAAGATGGCTAATTAGTGGCTAGGAGGGGAACCACTTTCAACTTCTTCTCCAAGCCACGCGACATCCTGACTTGGAAATATATCATTGTTTCTTTAATGTCACTGAGTAAATGTCTTGAAACTCCCTTCCTAACAGCATTGTGGATCTCCCCACACCAAATGCACTGTGGTGGTTCAAGAACGCAGCTCACCACCAGCTTCTCAAAGGTAACCAAGGATGGGCAATAAATGCTGGAATCTATTAGCAAGAAAACATTAATAATACACGTCAAAATCATAGTTTGGTCACAAGGAGCCAACATAGAGTCATAGAGACGTATAGCATGGAAACAGACCCTCCAGTCCAACTTGTCCATGCTGACCAGATTTCCTAAATTAATCTAGCCCCAATTGCCAGCATTTGGTCCATGTTGCTCCGAACCCTTCCTATTCATATACACATTCAGATGCCTTTTAAATGTTGTAATTGTATCAGCCTCCACCACTTCCTCTGGCAGCTCACTCCATACACACACCACCTTCTGCATGAAAAGGTTGGCCCATAGGTCCATTTTAAATCTTACCCCTCTCACCTTGAACCTATGCCCTCTAGTTTTGGTCTCCCCCACCCTGGGGAAAAGACCTTGATTATCACCCTTTCTATGCCCCTCATGATTTTATAAACCTCTATAAAGTCATCCCTCAGCCTCCGACACTCCAGGGAATATAGAACCAGCTGATTCAGCCTCTCTCTATAGCTCAAACCCTCCAACCCCTTGGCAAAATACTTGTAATGTTTTTTATAAAAGGAAAATTAGTTTTGATAAAATGATTAGATATTTGAAGATGTAACCAGTAAGAAAGTCAAAGGGGAACCAGTATATATACCATACTTTGAGTCCAATGGTATTCAATAAAATGCCACATAGCAGGCAAGAAAAGGTTTCATAGAGTTGAGGGCTAGATATTAGCATGGATAGAGGATTGGTTAGTAGGCAGGTAGTAGAAAGTAGGGATAAACTGGGCATTTTCATGTACAAGACTGAAGTTATGGAGTGCTGTAATGATCAGTGCTGAGGTCTTGGCTATTTGTGATCCATTAACAAGGAAATCAAGATAACGCATCTAAGCTTTCTGAAGTTAGGTGGGAATGCACTACAGCCTGAGGAACTTTAACTCAGATTTGAGGAGCTGGAGCCTGAGCCAGTGATGTCATGCTACATCATTGAAACTTTGCCTCAGAGCGTGGTCCCATGCCTCAGACTAGTTAATTCAAATTTGGGTCTGTGACCAGGAACAGGTGCATGTAACTGATATTGATGCCAGTATGGGGATCCAAGGGATTGATCTTGAGGACCCTCAGTCTCTGCAATTGCCCAACAGTTACAAGATCTTGCAAATTGGATGAGAGTGGGGACTGCAGGGAGGATGAGTGAACTGACTGTATCACCAATTCCAAGATTATGAGCATCTCCTCAGGGCTGGTGATAAACTTTAAAAGGAAGGGAAGGGATCCATTTGTCACTGTCCAAATTGGAACTAACCATATTAATAGCAAAGGAGCTTCCAACAAAAGATTTTGACTAGTTAGGAGCTAATCTGAAAAGAAAACAGAACCCCCAAGGTTCTCAGAGTTACTGCTTTAGCCATGGGTAAACTGCATAGGGTAAATTACATCAAGAAGACAAATGCATGAAATGGGTTTCAGCTCATAGGACACTGGCACCAATATTGGGATAGAAGAGAGCTGTTCAGGTGGGATAGATTTCATTTGACATGTTTTGGGATAAGTGTCCCGGTGAATCAAACAACCAGGGCTGTAGAGAATATTTTACACTAATTAGAGGCAGGCAGGGTTTAAGAGAGAGGGAAAAAGATGGGTCTGTAATTGCTGGATTTATTATTACAAGCTTTCTTGAATAAGGCTGTACCATTTTCAGTTTCTTTGACTACTGGCACCTCCCCCTAAGTCTACAGAAGATGGAAAGATTATGGCCAGTGCCCCCACAACCTCCACTCTCACTTCATTCAAAATCCTTGGATACATTTCATCCAGTCCTGGTCCCTTTTCAACTTTAAGGACCAACGGTTTTTCCAACACTTCTTCCTTATCAGTTTTGAACCTGTTAGTGGCAGAGTTTCCTGTTGTATCACTGTGCCGGGTTAGCATTTCTCTCTTTGGTAAAAACAAATAAAAAATATTCATTTAAAACCTCAGCCATGCCCACTTCTCCAATGTGTAAATCCCTTTTCAGGTCTCTAATCAGCCTTACTCCCCCTTTTACCACTCATTATTTATATGCTTGTAAAAGAATATAGGACACATTTATGTTGGCTGCCAGCCTTTTCACATAACTCCTCTGTGCTTCTCTTATTTGCTTTTCCACCTCCACTCTGAATCTTCTGTACTTCTTTTGGTTATCAATTTTATTTTTGACCTGACACCTCTCATAAACACACCTTTTCGTTTGTAACTTAATTTCTACCTTTTTTGTCATCCAGGGATCTCTGGATTTGTTTGTTCTATCTTTCCCACCTGACTGTATGTAAGCTATATCCTCTTTGAATGTTGCCCACTGTTCAGTTACAGTTTTTCCCACCAATCTCTCATTCCAGTTAATCTTCCCCAGCTCCATTCTTGCTTCATTGATGTCAACTTTCCACCAATTGATTTTTCGGTGGATTGATGCTTGCCATTCTCCATCACCATTCTAAAACTTATGATATACTGATCAATGTCTCCAAAATGTTTCCCCACTGGCACTTGAGCTGCTTCATTCATCTCATTTCCAAGAACCAGGTCCAACAGTGCATCCTTTCTTATCAGCTTGGACACATACTGCTGTAGGAAAACCATTTGCACTCCAGGAATACTCATCCCTCGCTGCCCTTTACGTTATCAATATCCTGCCGTCCTCC